GACCTGCTGAGCTTTTCCAGCAACTTTGTTTTTGTTCCTGATTTACAGCATCCCCAGTTCTTTTGGTTTTTACAATGTAACTACAATAGCTGTTGAAACTTCGATTTTTGTTTTAGAAAGCCAAAAGTTACACGAAAGTGGCTCTATAAAGCGCTATAACCTCTCAAATTATAAACGAAGAGGTTAGAATCCAACAGATTGCTTTGGAAGTGTCTCCTGTCTGTAAACGAGAGCAGTAAATTTGAAACACAGCAAGATTCCAGTCAGGAAAGTAGAAAACTGACCAGTTAATCTGAGCCCGTTATGCCATTCACTACTTGCATCTATTGTATTAATTCCACTCATTAACTGAACTAATTGAATACTTTGGAAAAGATTACCAGCTTTACAGCTTACATTTAATCATCATTTGCATGAATTATACAACACAATTTAGAATTTCATTACAGATTTTTAAAAAAAAAAAACAATTATTGCAAAGCCTGTTCCGCCATCTACAAGGGACAAGTCAGGAGTGTGATGGAATACTCCCCACTTGCCTGGATGGGTGCAGCCCCAACAACACTCAAGAAGCTTGACACCATCCAGGACAAAGCAGCCGCTTGAATTGTACAGTGTAACTTTGACCACATTATTACTACACAACGTGGACAATGTACAAGGTGCAGAGCAGTAACTACAGCGTGGGAAAGGCAAGGTTTATATTCACGGAGTTCAAGAGACCAAGAACTGATTGAAACATATAAAATCCTGAGGCTCCTTCACAGAGGGATTGTGGAGATGAGGACAATACAACGGATGGCACAGTGGCTCAGTGGTCAGCACTGCTGCCTCACAGCGCCAGGGACCTGGGTTTGATTCCACCCTCGGGCGACTGTCTGTGTGAAGTTTGCACATTCTCCCCGTGTCTGCGTGGGTTTCGTCCGGGTGCTCCGGTTTCCTCCCACAGTCCAAAGATGTGCAGGTTAGGTGGACTGGCCGTGCTAAATTGCCCGTAGTGTCCAGGGATGTGTAGGCTAGGTGGGTTATAGGGGGATGGGTCTCGGTGGGATGTTCTGAAGGTCAGTGTGGACTTGTTGGGCCGAAGGGCCTGTTTCCACACTGTAGGGATTCTAAGATAATGATCTATGGAACCTCTTTATTCAAAAACGGAGTGAGAGAATAAACAGGCAACAGCTTAACATTGGCAGAAGTGAATCTACTGTCTGCAACTTTGTAGATGATACAAAAATAGGTGGAAAGGCAAGTGCTGAGGGTGACACAAACAAAAAACTTAGTCAGGTTATGAGAGTGGGCAATAACTTAGCAGACGGAGTATAATGTGGGTGACGAGAGATTATGCACTTTGGCAAGAAGAATTTAAATGGAGAAAGACTGCAGAAAGCTACAGCACAAAGTGACGTGAAGAATCAGAAATCTCTAGCATCCAAGGTCAGCGATAATAGGGAAGGGCAAATGTAATGTTGGCCTTTATTTCAAAGGGAATGGAATATAAAAGGTACAGATGCTTTGCTATAACTATACAAGGCACCAGTCAAACCACGCTAGAATACTGTGAACAGTTTTGGGCCCCTTATGCAAGCAGAGAGATACTGACATTGGACGCAGTCTAATTTATAAACGAAATTTCTTTAACCTATTATTTCTAAATCAGCCTGTTCACAGATGTTATTACACAACTCTGAGGCAGGTGGGACTTGAATCCAGGCCTCCTGGTCCAAAGTAGAGACTATACCACAAGAAGGCCCTTGCTTTTTGTTTATATAAAATTTATTATTTCACCAATTTTCCTGAACAAACTTTTCACAGATGCTAATACATGAGCAAGTGGGACTTGAACTCAGCCCTCTTGGCTCAGAGGTAGGGACACTTCCACTGCACCACAAGAGGGCCCCACATTTTCTTTCAAAATAATTTAAAAGTTTTGTTTTGATTTAACCTATTTTTCTAAACAACTTGTTCAGAAATATTATCACACACTTCTGGAGCAGGTCAGACTTGAACCTGGGTCTCTATAACCACTGCATGACAAAAGGACTCCCAGTATTTTTTTTTAAAATAAAGGGCTCAGTTGATGAGTTCCAGCTAGAACCAACAGAATTGATACCCATCGGGCTCCACAAGGAGATTAAGTTGTGATTCCCCAAGGGCTCCGTAGGGTTTAATCACAATTATCCGGTGATTTCCATCACTAACACCATTTTATAAAGTTGTTTGAAAAGCATTTAGAGATAGAACGCTGGATTTGGCAATGAGAACACATTGTTGGAACTGTTTTCTGTAGAATTCCAACAGAGAAGCAACATCACTAACCTTGACAACTGTTACCAGACCATCATTACTGATGGGGTCGGTTGGCACAGCAAAGTGTCCTGAAGGGTCTCCACTGGTTATCTTATAAACTGCAAACCAGGCTGCAGTGTGAGGGTGATCCTTATCCGTTACAGTCAGGTTTGAAACAATTACATCAACTCTATTTTCTGGTACTTCTCCATAGAACTACAAAGACAGAAATGATACAAGTTAAACCCCCCCCCGAAGTAATGAAGTAAGTATTTGTTTTAATTAACAATCAATATACATGTTATAAAAATTAATTTTTCAGATCCATTAACCTTTACTAGAATTCAGAGAATGCTTCTTTGAGAATAAATCTTTTGAATCAGACGACTTCACTTTTCCATCTGACTAGTCATTCACAAGCAAGTCACTATTTGAAGTCGAGTAATAAGGTTTGTTAAGCCACATTGGTTTAATAGGATTTATTCAGGATACAGTAACAACACTTTGGAATCTCAGAATTATCTCAGAATGAGGCAATTCAACCCATCGTGCCCGCACTGACTCTATTACCTAGCCCAGTTCTATCCCCGAGTGCCAATCTCTTGCCTTTTACCCATATCTCTGCATACCATTTCTGTCCAAATAACCATCTACTGTCCATTTCAAATGCCTCAATTGAACCTGCCTCTACTACATTTCCAGGTAATGCCTTCCAGAGCTTGCTGTGTAAAAAAAAAAGATATGCCTCACTTCACCCTCACTTTGTTTGCACACTTCCTTAAAAATTTATGCCCCTCTCATTCTTACTCCTTTTACCAACAGGAATGACCTGCGCTCCCCCCCTACTCCGCCCAATCTGTCCAGCTCATTCATGATTTTGAATTTCAACAAATGCAAGTTTCTTTCCCCTCAAACAAAGAGAAACTGATTTTAATTACTGTGCAACAGCTCAAAACGGCCTTGTCTTTGAACATAACGAACAGAAGCAGGAGTAGCCTATATAGCCCCCTTGAGCCTGCTCCCCTATTGGGTTTCTTCCGAAAAACAATGCTAATTTTCAAATCTCTCTCGATCTTCCAGAATCCATAACTCGCTCCTTGGAAACAATTGGTACTGTCTAGACCATAAGACAGAGGAGCAGAATTAGGCCTTTCGGCCCATCAAGTCTGCTCTGCCATTCAATCATGGCTTATGTTTCTCAACCCCATTCTCTTGCCTTAACCCATAACCCTTGATCCTTTAATAATCAAGAAGCTATCACTGTCTTAAAGACACTCGATGACTTGGCAATTATGTTCTATACAGTAACACTGGATTCCTGCATCAAAAACACCAGTTCTGGGATGATCCATGGAGATCATCTGGTTACATTAGCGATTAATTTCAGGATCCTTTCAGAGCACAATTTAATTCAGGTAATGCTTCAGGTACAACTCAGTGGAGAAACACCTTCTCAAGAAGTCATCAATCGCAAGTTATCTTAATTCAAACAAGCAACAGAGCACATAACCAGGGAACTCTCAAGTAACTTGTATATTCTCCAGGAAGGAAAACTTGCAAGTGGCAGGACACTTTTAAGTCAAGTGTCCTCAATAAGCTTCTTCAACAGAACAATAATCTCCATGCAATTAGCAGACAAGCCACGGTAGCACTGACAGCGCAAAAATCTATTCAGCTCCTTGTGTCTGTGTTACTCAACAGAGAGAAGCTTTCTACTGTAATCCTGTCTCCTTGATCCCCTGTTGGAGCCTTCCCTTTCAATCCTCATCAATTGCCTTTTATAACCAGCCTCTGCCTCAATTGCCAAAGCCTAACACGTTCTTTGTGTGCTCAAGAGAATATCAACTCCCAACCCCTCTTAGTGATAATCCAGACTTGATCGCACTTGTTATCAGTTGAAGAACCACAGACAATATTTTCACTGCCCACTCCCACTAATGCAGCCTTATATTCCAAGGACATTATCTACTCCTGAAGCAGACTCTGGACTCGATCCATCTAAGACAGAGACAGAGAGCACCAGAGCGACAGCCAGCGAAAACGTTTGTGAAGAAAGCAGGCAGGCTCAATGCTTACCGTGGCAGTGGTGAACTCTGGAGGGTTGTCGTTGACGTCGGTGACTTTAATGACCGCGGTTGCAGTGTTGGAGAGGCCGTATGTGGGGCTACCCTCCATATCGGTGGCCTGGATGATTAATGTGTACTGCGGAACTTTCTATCAAAGGAGCAGAACAGTGGGAGAGATGAGAAAAGAATTAAAGAGACAAGTGTAACTGTTAAAAACATAGAACGTAGAGCAGTACAGGACCTTCGGCCCACGATGTTGTGCCGACCTATTATCCTAACTCCTCATTAATCACGTAACAAACCCCCGGAAAATCCAGAACAGCAAACTGCTGGCCCGTCCCAATCACACAGAGCTCCGATTACAGTCACAACACTCCAGGGTGTGCAATATATGGAAGGATGTGCCATGCCAACCACCCAGTCAAATGGAGATTGCCAAATGGGGAACACACTGACAAATAATGGAGATTGGAGGAGGAGTATAGTGGGAGTATGTAAGGACCAGGAGGAGAGTGGGAACATCAAAAGGTATCATATTCTTTTTCGAATAGACAGTCCTGCATTTATCTCCCAGTGCAGCTCTCAATTTCATGTTGAGCAATCAAAATTGGATTTGTGCAATCCCATTAAAATGACAGAATGTTTAATGGCTTTTGGAAATCGCTGAACAGGTGCTGAAAATGTCAAACCTTCCTACAAAAGACAAGACAGTGTAAAACAATGACACCACCTTGCTCCCTGGGTTACCTGTATCGGAAATTCTAACTTCAGCGAACAGATGCACTTTACATAAACCTCCGCAGAGACTGAAAGGGGACCTCTGCAGAGAGTTCAATTCGATTAAGCAGAAATTCAAAACCATTGCTTTTTCCAAATGGAATGTTCAATAAATTCAAAAGGGACAAAAAAAAACACCACCACACACTCCCTTCATTGAACCCAGAGAAGAACAGGCAGGTTCAAGCACCGCGCTCTCGTACAGAGAGGTCTCGAGTTTCATCCTTTGTGCATTGATGAGGCTGCATTGCAGTGTTCCCAGGATAAATGGCGAGGTGGGCAGGGGTAAGATCAGTTGCAGACTCCTAGTTTGGCCTAAAGCCCAAAGGGTTTGGTGTTCATATCCAACAGCTGTTTCCTTCTCCAGTGAGACCTATTCAGGTGCACGTTGCTAGGAAACAGGCAGATCACTAACAGTGGGAATCTGGTGCGCGCACAGAGAAGCAAGTCTTTTTGGAAACACAACCCTCCCCCTCAACAGCAACGCAAGGAAACGGTCTCTCCGGTGCTACTAGTAAAGAAAGGAAAGCAGATCCAGCTGACTGGGTTTAGTCTCTCATATAGGCTGGCACTCCGATACATCATGGAATGCAGCTCTCCTCCCTCACTGAGCTACCACCCTCCCTCTACTTACTATAAGAGAGGGGACGTTAGCCATTTAGCCCATCGATTCTGCTCTGCCACACGAGATCACAGCTGATCTGGCAACCCTCAACCTCACTTTCCTGCCTTTCCCCCCCAAGAACCTTTAATTCCCCATCACTGATTAAAACTGTCTTGCTCAGCCTTGAATATACTGAATGACCCAGCCTCAACAGCCCTTTGCAGTAAAGAATTCCTTGGATTTACCCTCCTCAGAGAAGAAATTCCTCATCTCCATCTTAAATGGGTGACCCCTTACCCTGAGATGATACCCTCTGGTCCTAGACTCCCCCACAAGGGGAAACAACCTTTCCACATCTACCCTGTCAAATACCCTAAAAATCTTATATCTTTAAATAAGGTCACCTCTCATTCTTCTAAACTCCAAGGAGTACAGGCCCCAATCTACCCAAACTCTCATACAACAGTCCTGCCATACTGGGATGAGTTGAGTGAACCTTCTCTGGGCTGTGTCTAATTAATTAAGGTCAGACTAGCTGGAACACAGTGAGTTGATGTGTAGTTTCAGCCTCTCACATTGGTTAGTTACCACCTTACCATCCTCCTGAATGGTTTACTGGTGTAAGACGTATAGAACAGCAATACTATATTGGGTTCAGGAAAACCTTCTACAGCAATATTGTCCTAGCTCAAGGATGAAGAAGAGGCTCCTAGACATTGTTCTTGGGAAGTGGGGAGTGGGGGGATGGTGGGTGAAGGGATCGTGGTATTCTAAGGGCCAGGTTGAAAGGACAAGGACCGTTCATACACTAAATAGGGAAAAAGCCAACTTCTTCATCATGAAAACAGATTGAACCTGGTGTTTCACGAAGAGGTAGATGGCGTACAAACGAGGCATAAAACCACACAAGGGCAAACAAATTCAGAACAACAAAACAGATAGAGACCAACACGAGGAAGAGAAAAGCTGCTTACGATGTTGGCCGAGCAGACAGAAGAGACTGATATTGCAGGTTCACAGCGGGTTTGGAAAAAGGGGAGAAGAAAAGAGAGGGCATGAGAAGAAACCTGGCAGCTTACACAAAAGGGGAATCCCAAAGTTTTCAATGGGCTTATAAACAGTGGGACCAAAAGGGGGTTCGCACATGGAGGCTGAGGTGATACAGGAGTACTTTGTGTCTGTTGTTACAAAGTAATAGTGTGCTCCACAGGTCAGAGTGAGAAGAGGAAATTTTGTCACTAGGTTTTGAAACTGGTAAGGAGGTAGCATTGGGCTTGCTGCCCACATTTACATTTCATAAGGCACCAGGATCAGTTGAGATGCAAGCAGGAAATGGAGGGAGTGAAAGTGAAAGTGGACATTGTGGAACCATGGACTGCAACTTTCCAGTCGTCCTCAGACTCCAAGGGACTGGAGAGCTGCAAACTTTGCACTCTATTTACGAGCAACAGAGCACAGATAATCTGAGCAACTACAGTCCCATTAGTTGAGCCAGAAAGCTTCTTGCAATGATCACATGGGACAAAACTAACAATCGTTTGGACAAACGTAGAACTGTTACAAAAACCAGCACGGATGTGTTTCAGGCAAATTGTATTTAACTAACTTGCTGGAGGTCCTTTGAAGAGGCAGCAGGGAAGGCTGATGAGGGTAATGCAGTGAATGTGGAGTATGCAAGACTTCCAAAAAAAATGCTCAATACAGGACAGGCTTGTGGGCAAAGTAACAGGAACTGGAATAAAAGGCACTGCAGCATTATGGATAATATTTTCGAGCTGAGACAAGAGACTGAGTGGTGAAGGAATATAAATTAACATATTTACATGACATGAACATTATCGCAAAGGGCACAACTTCAAAATTTGTGGACAATGCAATACCTAGAATTTAATGCAGAGAAACGAGAGGGGGTTCTAACAGAGACATTATAAGTGCAGGAGCTGGGTGTATATGCGTACAAATCAGGACAGGTTGACAGAGTGGTTAATAAAGTATATTGCCTCCTGGGCCTTTTTAATGAACATCAAATGTGAATGAAACATTGGTTTAGCTTCAACAAGATTATTGCAGCAACTGGAAAACTGTGAGCAGTTTTGGGCCCTGTATCTAAGGAAATATAGACTGGCATTGCAGGCAGTCGAGAGAAGGTTCACTCGGCTGATCCCAGGTATGGAGGGTCTCTCTTATGAAAGTTTGAGTAAGTTGGGCCTGTACTCATTGGAGTTTAGAAAAATGAGAAGTGACCTTACTCAAACCTACAAGGTTTTTTGGGGCCTTGATAGGTTAGAAGTGGAAAGGTTGTTTCCCCTTGTGGGAGAGTCTAGGATCAGAGGGAATAATCTCAGAATAAGAATTTAAGACAGAGATGATGGAGGATTTCTCCTGAGGGGAGTGAATCTGTGGGATTCTTTACCACAGAGGGGATGTCAAGACTGGCCCATTATGTATATTCAAGGCTGAGAGAGACAGATTTTTAATCAGTGAGGGGAAATCGAGGGTTATGAGGGAAAGGCAAGAAAGTGGAGTTGGGGATTATCAAATCAGCCATGAATCTCACTGAATGGCAGAGCAAACTCGATGGGCTGAATGGCCTGCTTGTGTCTTATGGCCTTCTGGTTCTGGGCTTTGCATTTTGGAAAGACGTGAAAACACTGGAGAGGGTGCATTCACGAGAACAGTCCCAGGAATGAGTTACGTAGATAGATTGGAAAAACCGTGACGGCTTCAGTGGAGAATCACCTGGAAGCGGTGATGGGGATTCGACCGAGATCGTCAAAACCATGAGGGCTGTGGACAGCGTACATCAGGGGGGTCTGCTCCCACTGGTACAAAGAAGGTTTAAAAGGTAGTTGTTACAAGCCATGATAGCACAGAGTCAGAGCGTGGAATGTACTGCGGGTGGAGACAGATTCAAGCAAGGCCTTCCAGTGGGAACTGGATAATCATTTGGACAGGAAGAATGTGCAGATACTGACAGCTGACTTCTTTCCCATAATTAATTAATTCTTGCAATAGCAAACGGGATGGGACTGATCGCGGTTACCAGACCTCCCGTGAGACTAGCCATTATTTTTTCTAGATTTTTACTGAATTCTAATTCCACCACCTCCCATGGTGGGATTTGAACCGGTGTGCTCTGGGATTCAGGACGGCTAGGCCTAAGGACACTAACACTATTCCACTGCCGACCCGTGTTCAATCTCAAATGATCAAAGTTGAGTTCAATAAAAAAGAGTCTGGAATTAGTCTAATGTCGACACATTTGGTTCACTAATGCCCTTTGGAGAGGGGAAAACTGCCATCCTTACCTGGTCTGGCCTACATGTGACTCCAGACCCACAGCGATGTGGTTGATCTTAGCTGCCCTCTGGGCAGCTCTGTATGAATTAGAATTAAAAATTAATACATGCCAGGGGTTGGTACAAGCGCAGAAGTGACCCACATGCAGGAATGCATGAAGGATAGGACTTCATACAAATATCTGCACAGCAGTATAAATACCAATACAACAAAACCCTTATTATTATATCAGCTCGAGTATTGTGCAAAGGACCTAGTTCGCCTCAGCATCATAGACAACAAAAACTCTCTGTAATACCTGCCTTTCCTGTCATAAATGACAATACACCAGGGAAACCCAGCTCTTGTTTACAGCTTTCACACAGATACAAGAATTTAGCAGATTCAAAGTGGCTCACTAAAGGGAAGGGATAATATTTCAAGGGCCCTGTGTATTGATCTGCACTGACGGATGCAGTGATTAATATTTTAAAGATGCACAGGAACAGAAACCATCTCTGTCCAGTTCTGCCATTTAAATATTTACAGCCTGTTCCTCCCCATCACCACCTCTAGAAAAACAATTGCCTCTTGTATTTTTCATGTCACATCTCACTTATTTCTCGAGAGATAGAAACAATAAACAAGAGGTGTTAAATGCATATCAGACCTTGATTAGGCCACAGATAACAACTTCAGTCTCAGACACCAAATCGAAAATAAAAGGCACTGGAGAAGGTGGAATAAGTTTTATAAAAGCAAGACCAAACTGAAAGAATGGATGGGGGGCTGGGTCGGGAGACTCAGAATTTTATAGGTTTCTAACACGACTAGACAGGGTGAACACAGGAAGGATGTTCCCGATGGTGGGGGAGCCCAGAACCAGGGGTCACATTCTAAGGATACTGGGTCAGCCATTTAGGATTGAGCTGAGGAGAAATGTCTTCACCCAGAGAGTGGGAAGCCTGTGGCATTCTCTGCCACAGAAAGCGGTTGAGACCAAAACATTGAATATTTTCAAGAAGCAGTTAGATGCAGTTATTACAGCTAAAGGGATCAAAGGGTATGGGGAGAAAGTGAGAACAGGGGACTAAGCAGGACGATCAGCTTGATCATATTGAATGGTCGAGCAGGCTTGAAGGGCCAAATGGCCTACTTCTGCACCTATATCCTACGCATTTCCCAGGGAAACAGGGAGTCTTTCACCCCAGCAAAGAGAAGACTTTGATGAGACCTGATAGATGCTGCAAATTAATACTTTAGATACACTGCTTTCAAATTAATGCTGCAAGGATTAGTTTTGAGATCTCAGCTGGTCAAAATCTACATTCTTGTCTTAGTCGAGTGACTTAATGCAATATTACCTCAACTTACTGAGCAAACGTGCACAGAAAGCTGGATGTGAAAGAAATCTTTAAAGAGGGTGCAGAGAGGCTGCAAGGAATTGCAACAAAGGTTCACCAAACGCGATCCTGGGATAAAGGGATTGTCCGATGTGGACACTGTTTGTATTCTCCACAGTTGAGAAGATCAAGGGAGATTGCAATGAAGAATACAAAACCCTTACAGCGATCGACAGGGTGGAAGGAGACTGGAGGATCCATCTGTTTGGGGGATGCAGAACCAGGGGTTGGGTATTTAGGACCAAGATGAGGAAGAAGGTGAATCACTCTGAGAAGGTGAATCTTTAGAAACCCCTGCCTCAGACAGCTGTGGACGCTCGGATGTTTGGTAAGTTCAAGACAGAGATCAATAGATTTCCACAAAAACAAAGCGGCAAAGAGTGCAGGGCGATTGGATGAAAAGTGCCAGGTAATAGCCATCTCAAACAAATGATTGGCCCCTTGACAGTCAATGGTGTTACACCACTGAATATCACATGATCAACATCCACAGGGTTATCAGTGACCAGAAACTCGACTGGATTCGCCACATAAACTCAGTGGCTACAAGAGCAGGTCAGAGACTAGGAATACTGTAATGGGTACCTCACCTCCTGACTCCCCAGAGCCTGTCCCACCATCTACAAGCACAAGTCAGGAGTGTGATGGAATACTCCCCACTTGCCTGGATGGGTGCAGCCCCAACAACACTCAAGAAGCTTGACATCATCCAGGACAAAGCAGCCGCTTGATTGGCACCACATCCACAAACATTCACTCCCTCCACCACCGACGCTCAGTAGCAGCAGTGTGTACCATCTACAAGATGCACTGCAGAAATTCACCAAAGATCCTCAGACACCACCTTCCAAACCCATGACCACTTCCATCCAGAAGGACAAGGGCAGCAGATACATGGGAATGCCATCCCCTGCAAGTTCCCCTCTGAGCCACTCACCATCCTGACTTGGAAATATATCGCCGTTCCTTCACGGTCACTGAAATCCTGGAATTCCCTCCCTAAGGGCTTTGTAGGTCAACCCACAGCACATGGACTGTAGCAGTTCAAGAAGGCACCCCCACCTTCTCAAGGGGCAACTAGGGACAGGGAGTAAACGCTGACCCAGTGACACCCACATTCCAAGAATGGATATATGTAAAAATAAACTTTTCCTCACACTCAGCTCATCGAACAAAGCTGAGCTGCTGACTAAAGGTTTTAATTCAAGGGCAAGTGCAATGCAATAATGGTTTATTGACCGGGAAACAGTGTGAAAGCCAATGTTTGCTCCCGATGTATACGGTACCTCTCTGTCAAGGCCAGCTGCTACAGTGACGATATCGCCCGTCTGGTTATTGATTGTGAACATGTTTGGAGACGGGCTGTTTGGCATTTGAGACAGAATTTTATATCTCAACAAGCCATTGGCGGAATTAGGATCGTCAGCATCTACCGCAGTGACCGCCATCACAAACGTTCCTGAGGAGGAGAAAGGAAAGCTCAATCTTTGATCAAACAGTGAACAGCTCACATACAACTTGACACTTAAAATATGGACCACTGATTGGATCCACGTCAAAAGGATCTTACAAACACAACACACCTTCAGCGTCACTCCCCTTAGCCTCCTCTGGCCCCGAGGCCATTAGTTCCCCATCGAGCATCACGAGACTGACTTTAACGTGAATCGTACCTGACACGATGTCGCCGTTTTAGCTTGGCCTCTCGCAGAGTTGAAGCTGCTCTTGATGCTACACATTGACCCAAGTCTTTGGCTTTGAGCGTGTGCCAAGCAGGGTCCAGTATCCTCCCCACGTCCCATCCTGCCCCACCCCAACCATGCCAACAGACTGCTAATGCCCCTTCACTTCAAGGGTCTGGCCATGCTGCTAGGACCTGCCCAGGCACAATAAGGCAAGTGGAGAATGTGAATTCAATTAACTCAACAAACCCGAAGACCTGTACCAACAATGGTGACCCCCAAGATTGTCAGACAAAGCCATCGGGCTCGCCATTTTCCTTCCCTGAGGGACATCATACCCGGTTTGGCCCATACGTGACTCAAGTCCCATAGCAATATGGCGGATACCCAGCTTCCTTCTGTTAGTCCTGCACCACCCACCATAACCCCCTCCCCGACTCAGTTACATTTGCAAGGAAGGGGCAATCAATAGTGGTTTTGCCAGTGAACTCACCCCCCTCCCCCCACCCCCCTGTTATCACCTCAACGAACAACAACAAAAGAAAGGGCCCTATCCTGGTAGCTGGGGTAACACATGACCATTGAGTCAGAATTTTTACAGCACAGAAAGAGGCCCTTCAGCCCATCGTGTCCACACTTAATCAAACATCCACCTATCCTCGTCCAATTTCCCAGCACCTGGCCTGTACCCTCGTATACTCTGCCGTTGCAAGTGCTCATCTAAATACTTCTTAAAGGTGCCGAGAGTTCCTGCCTCCAACACCCTTTAGCCAGTGGCTCCCAGATATCCATCACCCTCTGGGTGAAAACAAAATTGTCACATCCCCCTCTAAACCTCCTGCCCCTTTCCCTTAAACAGGTGACCCCGTGGTCACTGGCCCCTTTACTCAGGAGGAGAGTTTTTCCCTTTTTACCCTATCCACTGCCCAGGTTTGGTCTCTCAGAGAAAAAAAACAATTACGTTGAGTTGAAATGGGAGGAAAGAATTCTAACAGACTGATTTTCAAAGTCTACCGTTGCTGCATTGATCAGATGATCGGTGTTACAAACCTGGCCTCCGAAATAAACAAGGGACGTGGCTTGAAATGTCATAAGACTCAAGGCTATGGGCCTTGTGCTGGAAAGGGAGGGGGGATTGGTGTAGATAGCGTAGCTTTGGCTGCCTCGATGGGCTGAAGGGCCTCCTCTGTTCTGTATGACTACAATTCTCAGACGGTGCCCCAGTAATAATGCTACTAGTAATCCAGAGACCCCAGGTCAATGCATGGGGGAAGGGCAGATGGTGGAGTTTTAATTCCGTTATTAAATCTGGAATTGAAAAACTAGTCTCAGTGACCGGGAACAGGAACTGACATGAACTGTTGTCAAAAACCCATCTGGTTCATTAGCGTCCCTTTAGAGAAGAAAATCTGCCATCTTTACCCAGTCTAGCCAACACGTAACTCCAGACCCACAGCAATGGGGTCGACTCCTAACTGCCCTCTGTAATGGCCCTAGCGAGACACTCAGCACAAGGACAATTCAGGACAGGCAATAAATGTGGGGCTTGCCACCAACACCATATAACAATAAAGACAGAAGTAGTCTCAGGCTACCAGAGGACGGTTGGTATCTTCTGCAACTAGGAATCTAACCATCTGTTACCTGGCTTCGATCCTTCTGGGACAGAACCATTCCACACTTGATGCAGAAACTCTGGCCGGTTATCGTTCATGTCAATGACGTTGATAACTATGTCAATTGGATTTTCCACTTGATTTCCATTCAGATCCACTGCGTGGGCTCGTAGCTATAAGACAAGAAGCACATCAATACAGCATCGAAACCAGTCGTGGGTAACCACAAGATTAACAACCCTTTCAAACATCAGGCTACATGTCACTACTTAAGCTTAAAGATTACTTTTTTCTCCATTCATTCTGTAGGATATGGGCATCACTGACTGGGCCCAGCTTTTATTACCCGTCCCTAGTTGCCCCTTGAGAAGGTGGGGGTGAGCTGCCTTCTTGAACCGCTGCAGCCCATGTGCTGTAGGTTGACCCAAAATGCCCTGAGGGAGGGAATTCCAGGATTGTGACCCAGTGATAGTGAAGGAACGGTGATATATTTCCAGGTCAGGACGGTGAGTGGCTTGGAGGGGAACTTGCAAGGGGTGGTGTTCCCATGTATCTGCTGCCCTTGTCCTTCTGGATGGAAGTGGTCATGGGTTTGGAAGGTGGTGTCTGAGGATCTTTGGTGAGTTTCTGCAGTGCATCTTGTAGATGGTACACACTGCTGCTACTGAGCGTCGGTGGTGGAGGGAGTGGGATGTTTGTGGATGTAGTGCCAATCAAGCGGCTGCTTTGTCCTGGATGGTGTCAAGTTTCTTGAATGTTGTTGGGGTTGCACTCATCCAGGCAAGTGGGGAGTATTCCATCACACTCCTGATTTGTAGATGGTGGACAGGCTTTGGGGAGTCAGGAGGTGAGTTACTTGCCACAGTATTCCTATCTTCTGGCCTGCTCTCGTAACCACTGTGTTTATGTGGGGAGTACAGTTGAGTTTCTGGTCTGAACCTGGTTAAAGCCTTTTCCACATTCTGGTCTTGTAGCATTTCCATTTGTTGCTTTATAGTACTTCCAAACGTTAAAACGTCACACAAATATATTTGATTTATAAGATACAAGACGACCATAGACAACACTCATTTGATCTCAGCTGGAGTTCTGGGTGCTACGTCACAGGAAAGATGTGAAAGTGTTGGAGAGCATACAGGAACGATTGTGTTGAGGGCAGATTGGTGAAGTTGGAAAAAAGATGGCTGAGAGGAGATTTGATATAGGGTTTCAGAACTTTGAGTGGGCTGGACAAAATTGATGGAAAGAAGGCGGTCTTTGCTCATAAAAGGAACAAGGACAAGAAGGTGCAGATTTAAAAAGCGATGTGCAAACGAAGCAAGGGTGACGGGAGAGAAAACTTTCTCACTCAGCAAATAGTTAGGGTCTGGAATGCACTGCCTGGGAAATGTGGCAGAGGCAGGTTCAATTGAGGCACTTGAGAGGGGCATTGGATGGTTATTTGGATGGAAATAGTGAGCAGGGAGATAGGGAAAAGGCAGGAGATTGGTACTAGGGGATAGAACCATGCAGTTGCGATGGGCCAAATGGCGGTCTCCTACTTAAATCACAGAATTGCTATAGCATCGTAGTTTTTAACTGCAAAGAAAAAAATTTCTCTACTTTAGTCAGAGAATTACTCAACTGATAATTGGAAATGGGTGGTGGGCATTTTCTCAGAAAAATTCAGATTTAGAAGAATGAGAAGGGATTTTACTGAAATGTCTGAGATCCTGAGGGGACATAACCAGGTAAATGCCTCTTGGGAGCTCCAAGAATGAGAGCACACAGTTTCCAAATAAAATTGCCCCCTTAAAGAGAGAAAGACAAAGAAATTTCTTCCACTCTGAGGGTTAGGAATCGAACAAATTCTCCTCCACAGGGGTAGTAGGAACTGCAGATGCTGGAGAATCCGAGACAACAAGGTGCAGGGCTGGATGAACACAGCAGGCCAAGCAGCATCATAGGAGCAGAGAGGCTGACGTTTCGGGCCTAGACCCTTCATCAGAAAAGGGGGAGGGGAAGGGGGTTTTGAAATAAATAGGGAGAGAGTGGGAGGCGGATAGAAGAGGGATAGAGGAGAGGATAGGTGGAGAGGAAACAAACAGGTCGAAGAGGCGGGGATGGGGCCAGGAAAGGTGAGTGTAGGTAGGGAGTTAGGAAGGGGATAGGTCAGTCCAGGGAGGACGGACAGGTCACAGAAAAACAAAGACAACAGGAGCAGGTCATTCAGCCTTCCCGAGCCTATCCTGTGATTCAGTACAATCATGGCTGATCCTTCAAATATTGACACTGTTCCCTTTTATAGGTTCCTGTTGAATCTGTTTTGCCAACCTTCCAGGCAGTGCTCCAGATCACAACTCCTCGTTGCGTATAATTATTATTTCTCCATCCCCTCTCTGCCAATTATCTGTCTGTTCCCTCTCGTTAACAACTCTCCTGCCAGTAGAGACAGCTTCCGCCCTGGTAAAAAATGCTTTGCGTTCGCGACGCAGTAACTTACGTGGTACGAAGCTCTCTGTTCACGATCCAGAGGTTTTGTCACAACGAGCTGACCGGAGATAGGATTAATGCTGAAGATTCCAGCTGGTGGTTGATCTGCCCCTGGCCCCGTGACACTGTAGCGTAGCGAACGGTTTTTATCACGGTCAGAGCGGATCTGTAAATCCGAAGGAAAGGAAAGTCATGCATTACCAAAAGACAACAAAAAGGTGTAATTGTGCACAGGCTCTTGTATCCTTCAATGGGGAGGTGACAGTCTAGCGATAATACCACTAGGCGGTCAATCCAGAGATCCAGGAAACGTTCTGGGGGACCTGGGTTCGAATCCTGTCATGTAGATGGTGGACTATGAATTCAATAAAAATCTGATGGCTGTGTCATGGAACCACTGTCAATCACTGGGGGAAAATTCCATATGGTTCACCAATACCCTTTAGGGAAGGAAATCTGCCATCTTTACCCGGTCTGGCCTATGTGCCTCCAGACCCATAGTAATGAGGGTGATTCATAAATGCCCTCTGGGCAATTAGAGACAGGCAATAAATGTTCAATGACGAACACATCCTAGAAATGAATATTCCCAGTGCCAGGAAACTCTTAGTGCACTCCCAGTGTTCCTCATTCCAAAGGGTGGAGAATGTTTGGGATTGAGATTGGAAGCTCAATCATCCAGCAGGTTCTGCTGAGAGATGGATAAGATTTCTGGGTGACACTCGATGACGCGAGGTGACGTGGTGATGGTGAGAAATGGCAGACAGGTAGATGATCAGGCCGAATGCGTTTGAGTGGTGGAGCTGGCTCGATGGACCAAATGACCTACACTCGCTCCTATGTGTAACGTCCCTATCATATAGGGAACACAGCAAGATCCCACAACTCACAAATCACGGTGTCCAGATTTGGCTGACGGTTAAATATGGGCCTGGATATACAAGAAACACCACCTTCAAAAATGTGCCATGCAATCTTTTAAACCCATTCCAGTGTGAAGACGGAGTTGATTAACTCAGTGTCTGTTAAACAGCTCTTCTGACTCCCTCAGCACAGGGATCGGGCTGGAATTTGGGCTCAGCGGGTCCTGAACCCATAGTCTTCCAACATGGACACTGGTGTTAGGCAACACCAATAAAAAGGAACAATCTTTGCTAAGGCAAAAAATACCCAGCTGGGGTGGTCATTAGCTACAGCATCTCTGAATGCGCATGTCCCTTCAGGAGGTTTTGTTTTAATTTAAATATTCCACCTATGACTAGGAGGTGGTTTTACTTTTAATGAATTATCTGCGAATGGCAAGGTTGCCAGGAAATTCTTGGAAGGGAAACAAGGTGAAAGGAGAAAGATTTAAAAGGGACCTGAGGGGCAACTTTTTCCACACAGAGGATGGTGCATACACAGAATGAGCTGCCAGAGGAAGTGGTAGATGCAGGTGCGGTTACAATTACAACATTTAAAAGACATTTGGACAGGTACATGAATAGGAAATGTTTAGAGGGATATGGGCCAAATGCAGGCAAATGGGACTAGTTTAGAGATAGACTGCCAATGCTGGATAACAAGGTGTAGAGCTGGAGGAACACAGCAGGCCAGGCAGCATCAGAGGAGCAGGAAA